CCGAGCCAATTTCGAAGGCATTGCTCTTGTTCTCGAGTGTTTGGTGAAAAAAATCAGGTCCATCAAATATTGTTAACAATATCTAGAATGATATGCACTTTTCGTGGCATCTCATAGCCCAGACGGTATTGTCCACAGCAGCTTCTCATTTCATTACCTGATGATCTTGAAACAAAGAAAAATTATACAGACATTGCAAAAAACCATGATGAAGTTTTGAGCGGTTTCGAATAAATTATGAATAATGTTATACAGACAAGTTATATGTATGTCACGTTTCATGAATATCAAACTAAAAATTGATCTTTTCAAAGATTTCATGGTTAAGAACAAGTGTCTAGGTTTCTAATGCGTGAAACACTTTTGAACCAATTCCCTGAAGGCTTCCATGAAATTGATATATTTGCACCCTGTCGAAGTAAGGAACCTAGGAGGTGGTCGGTTTCATAGACCTCCCGTGCCATTCCATTGGGTGGTAAAGGGGGGTCGGGGTAAACTTGCAGCTCCGATTTGGTTGGCTTTCGCAGATATTCGGATTTTGACTTCTTTTGTTGTATATAATAGAATCAGACTTTTATCTTTCTTAAAAGAAGTTAGCTAGTAGATCGATAAAGCAGCGCCCAAAGAGATCAGTTGCGTCGACAGTCCAAAAAACCATGGACATGCATATTTATGTCATATTTGAGGCTCTGTGGTTTCATAGTGAAGGTCCAAGAAGTACATGTTATAATATAAAATGCATAGTGATGAACTGTTCGAAAATAATATTTGAAATAACCTACTCGTAAGATTCAAAGTTTTTTTCAAAGTCCATCACTGGGATTATTTTTAAAGGAGACTACGTTTGAATAGGTGCCCGGCTAACACATCAAAATCGCATCTACAAATAAGTGTGTACATGTATAATACATGAGAAAGTATATAAAGAGACTATTATTTTTGGTACAAGGATGTCACAATCATTCTTGTTTGTTCGATTTTAAATTGGGTGATTGTGAATGTGCCATTTACTTGGTTCAAAAATTCAAATAGAAATTTCTCGAACTTCATGACACAATTCAAGTTTGTCCAATTTAAAATTGAATGGCTAAAGATATTTGTGACCTCCTTGTAGGTAAATGGTTTCATAGCTTACAATCCCTAATTTTATATACAAAATTTACATTAAGATTGTCTTCATTGCAGGAAAGTCATCATCACATTTAGCAACTATAAATATGAACTCGAATAGCCAAGAGTGACCCCTTTTACTCGGCTCACAGTCTTAAAAAGAATTATCCTACTTTGTGACACACCTCAAGAAAATAGGCAGAAACCTTGGTAGTGGTACCGTTGAGCCCCATGATGAAGTCATGGAGTCCATTCTCACTAAAAGGTAGGGTCCCAAATCCCTACTGACCTGCTGACTTACTCTCTTTTTTTTGACATATTCGAAACTATAAGTACCATGTTTTACTTCAACGACAAAAGGTGATTGTGACCTGGTACCAAACATAAATAATATTATGCATACAATTTGGTGTGTAGTGTGTACATATGTGCAAGAGGAAAAGACTTGACTATATTAACTTTCCACTGAAACAATGAATATTAGTTCAAAATATTAGTAGTAACTAATAAATTGATATTAATATTTCGCTCTAAAAGGGAGTTAACTGTTAACATTTGGATGTTAATATTATGAGTGTGTGTTCCTATAGGAGCATACTATACACTTATTCAATAGAGGAAAAAGACCTAATTAAGAGGATTTTTTAAAAAAATAATTGAAATACACTTTAGAACCACCAAATAAATACCTTCATGAGGAACAAAGAATTGGAGTTACTAATTACTTATACGCATGTTGATTGCGTGGTAAGTTCAATACACAAGTTGCTCTCTCAGTGCCCCTGACCTTCTTGAGTAGCCAATACACATATGGGTGAGGTTTATATAAGGTGTCAATCTTAAATAATTAATGTAAATAATTAATGTAAAGGGCATTCAAATCCCATGGAAAGATGTACTCCAGGCATCATAAACCCCTAAAATGGCTTGAAATCCTTCTGTTACTTCTATTTCTAATTATGAGATTTAAAGCTTCAAATTGAAATATATAAACACTTAAAAATCTTGCAATTTGAAACGATAAATTGTTATATGAAAGGTTTATAAGGCTGATGCGTGTCCTCTATACCTCTAACTAAAAGATTGATACTTGCAACTAGAAATTGTTTACTTATTTGGTACAACTAGTTGATGCCCGTCCTTTGCTTTGACAATGTTCTAATTAAAAAATTTGATAAAAATAGCTTTTTAAAAAAAAAAAATTAGAAAGAATTTGATAGATTTGTGTTTAGTTGTATTTATTTTTAGTTATTCAGCAGTACTACATATCGATGTTCAGAAACAAGTGGAATTTGACGTTCTTAAAGTGGTAAAAAATTTGTGGATCTGAAAAGTTGAAATGGACAGTCCGTAAGTGTTGCAAGGTAGACTTTTTTTTTTTTAAGCTTGAAATCAATTATCTTTTCAAATATATGATTGTCGAGATCGAGATTATCATTTGGTAAATTTTATGATGCAAGAACTATATTTTCTAATGACACATGAGGTGCAGCTTTATAATCCCTGACTTTATCAAGTACTTTGATGGAACAATTTAGAAGGTGATCTTCAAATTTCACCAATAAGTACATCAATAGCTATTCATTTAAATTTCTTTTATCCCTCTTCACTTAGCCAAAATAGGCTAATAAGAACTCATAGGCCTCACCTTAAGGCATATCCCATAATCCACTAGTCTCAGACCTGAAAATCCGAGTAAGCTACCTTCTTTTTCTTTGGGATTATGGCATTAGTGGGTAAAAAAAATCGAATTATGCAACCTTAAATCCATATTAAGCGATAAATAATCAGTCAAATTAAATCACCCACAAATGAGATTTTTAAAGGTTGCATTGATGCATCAGAGCAATGGCATTTGCATAATTAGATAGTGATCTCCCATTTCCTAGAGCCTAATGCCAATGCCAATGCCAATGCCAATGCCACATGCCACTCCTATGTACGCCGTAGCCGGCACCACATAGATTTGGAATTCATGATCTTAGTTGTACATCATCACACAGGCCAATTTAAAATTAGGGGAGACAACGGGCCAGACAGTCAGCACGGCTACAAGCCAATTTAAAATTAGGGGTGGCAATGGGCTGGGCCAGACTGTTAGCTCGGGCCAACGACTATATGCCGCTAGGGCCAGGCCATGCAAATTATGGCATTAGTTGCTAATGGGTCAGGACCAACATATGGCAGGCTCAGGGTGAGTAAACCATGAATGATAACCCAGATAAGCAAGTACTTGCCCTTCTTGCCAAGTCTGAGCCACGCAACTCATGGCTCAGGTCTAGCAGCTCATTAAAAGGCCCCGGCCCGGCCCAAACCTGATCTACCAGATATTGAAAATTGGACCTCTGGATATAATAGTATAGCATGTGATATCAGTCTCTCTTCAATTTCAACTTCTCACAGTAGTACAAGCATTCTTCTTTCAATAACAAACTATTAACAGACTTTGTTTGCACCGCTGCGGGCACAAGCATGCTTACTTTTGGTGCAAAAACATTTACTGCTCCCAAAGGAGCATGCTGTTCATTTGCCCAGACAAGATCAAGTGTCGAAGAGCAGTAAATCCACCAATATTTTTTCTTGGAAAGAACCATATCTCGTGATTGTTAGGTAGATCCCAAAACTCATGATAAAAAATATACTCCTCAGCTCTTTCACCAGAGGGAGTTCATGTGCAGTATGCTCCCTCGTATATAGTTTACTGGTACTTTGTCACTCCATGGTTTGTTTATAGCAAGTCAAGATAAGGGAGGACAAGACAAATTGCACAATCCAAAATGAGGGTGTCATTGCAGCAACCCATTGTATATTTTATGTTATATTCCACAAAAAAAAAAATAAAGAGTTATTTTTTCTTTTTTGTTTTTTTTTGGGAGTATAAGTAGTATCTCTCATTGAGTTTCCAGCTCCTCTTGATTCTCCCTCAGATAATCCAAAAGCATCATCCTCCTGTTTGTAGTGGCCCACTTCATAATCATACAACCAAACAACTCTCTCTTTCCTCACTCTTCTTTTCCTTGCAAAAATGCTCCCTTTACATTCTTTGAAAAATAGGTACTGGCCCCAGCTGAAATAAATTACCCAAAAAAAAGGTAAAGCAATCCCCATCAGTGTTCAACCAAAACTGGGTTGACACAGAACAAATTATAAATCAAAGAAGTTTCAATACTAAACTCATAGAAAACCTTCCTTTTCGCTCGGCCGGCAGAAACCTTGAGCATAGCAACAGGCCGGCTGGTCATCTCTCTTCGCTCAAGGCATAAATCAACTAATTTTGGGTGGAGAATAAAAGGTGAACCAAAATTTGATCACCCTTGAGATGCCCTTGTTTCCTTAAAAGTGATCACGATCTGAGTCATCTCCAACACTGAATAACAATCCTGGTTTTCATTCTTTGGCCTGCTGAAGAAAGTTCCCTTGTTTTGCAGAGAAAATGGCGACGCATAAAGGAGCAGCAATGCCCCAACTAGGCATTGGCCCAGAGAGAACCCTCTCTAGAGATAAGCTACAAAGCAGTGAGAGTGCAAATTGTGCAGCTAACGAGAATACGATACAGTACCCTTTCGGCACATTTTCTGAGCAACCCAATAGGAAAAAAAAAATCCGAAGCAGAAGAATTTCCAAACGCTGCTCATCCATGTCCCTGGCTTACTCTCTTGCTGAGCTTGACAAGGCCCTGAAAGAAGTTTTGGAGCAAGAGAATGAATCTTTGCAGCTTGATTCTCAAGGTGAGTCACTCTATACTCTCGCAATTCCAGACCCAAATAAAGAGAGGACCAATATTCAAGGAGAGGAAGGTACAAGCCGATCAAAACCTCGGAGGAATGGCTGTGGCATTCCTTGGCGCTGGTCAAAGAAACACAAGAGGCACCTGAGAGGACAAATTAAGGACTTCACAGGTAGAAAGTCCTCAAGTCTTAACACGAGAACAGCTCGCAAAATTTTCGGGACCCAAGTGTCTAGTGATGGTGAATCGCTCTCCTCCGATGAATATTCAATAGAAGAAGCAGAACCCACCAGCTATGAGATCATGGACTTGAGCTTCAACTCCGCTCCGGTAGAAGGGCAATGCTACTTCCCACACTTTACCCATGAAGCAAATCACCATGGCTCCAAACAGGAAGGTGAGAATGAGAGATACCATAGAACCAAGGAGTCGTCTACATGCAGAAGCTTGTCGCTCAAGTATCAACCGAAGCTTTTCCAGGACATCATCGGCCATGAAATCACAGTTCAAGCTCTAGAAAATGCGATCGGGAAGAAGAAGGTAGCACCCCTGTATCTCTTCCATGGATCAAGAGGTACAGGAAAGACGTCCACTGCAAGGATATTTGCAATGGCTTCCAACTGTGAAATTGCTTCAGCCAACAAGCCCTGTTGGAGTTGCAGAGGATGTTCGAGGAGCCTATACATCGCAGAGTTGTGTTCGGGGAGTAGGAGGACTGGGTTTGAGAGGATCAGAACTCTAATTCAGAGCACCGCATTCTCTCAGACTGTTCCGGGTTACAAAGTGTTCATCATAGAGGAGTCACATACGCTCACTGACGAAGCATGGTATGAGCTTCTGAGCATGGTGCAAAGAGTACCTAAGTCGGTGGTTTTTGTCATGATAACAGAGGACGCAAGCATGGTGCCAAGAGTGGTATCTTCGAGATGTCATAAGTTCTGCTTCACAAAGCTCAGAGACCAAGACATAGCCTCAAAACTGACACGAATTGTCACTTTAGAGAACATTAGGATTGATGGGGAGGCACTTAAATTGATAACAGTGAAAGCTGATGGCTCCTTGAGAGACGCCGAGAACATACTCGACCAGTTATCTCTCCTTGGGTCAAGAATCACAAATGCAATGGTTCAACAACTGGTTTGTGCTCCTCTCTACAACCTTATCCCATTAATTATGCATTGCAATTGCATTCACCAACTTCTTACAGTCATTAATTTACAGGTGGGTCTTGTGCCAGACAGTAAACTTACGGAGTTACTCAATATGGCCCTATCTGGAGATACCGCCAGGACAGTGTGCTGCACGAGGGAGCTCATCGGCTCAGGTGTCGAACCAGTTGCACTAATATCCCAATTAGCATCTCTCATCACAGATATCCTAGCAGGAAAATCTGCAACAACCACACCTTCCAAAGATGAGTTATTATTAAGAAGCCAATCACTAAGTAAGTCCTCATGATTCAAACTCAAATGACCGTTCCTAATGGTTGTCGATGATAGTAATAGCTAATAAAATAACATTTTTGTCCTACCGTACTGCCAGCAAAGAATCGCCCTGAGAGATTGTGCCAAGCATTAACGATACTCACTGAAACAGAGAAGCAGTTGAGGTCATCCACTGAGCATGCCACATGGGTTGTGGCTGCTCTTCTGCAGCTTGCACCACCAGTCTCCGATTCACATTCCACGAATGTTGTCTTGCCCAAAGGAATCATCTCTACAGGTATTCCAGAAGAGAAAAAGAATGGGTGAGAAGAATATTTGTGTAACAGGTAGATGAATATCAGAAAAAGCACTTGATAGAATTCAACATTGTACCAACAAGTCTGACTTTAATTCTTGCAGGAAACAAATCCACAAATGGAGCAAGACCAGCTCCATCAGTTACAAATTGGAAGACATTTACTGAGTACACTGACGAAAGAACCCATTTCAGTGTAGGAAATCTGGAGAAACTTGATGTCAAAGTGAATGATATAGACGCAACTGCTATTAGTGGTGATAATGGTACAAAATCTGGAATAGGTTGTCTTGCGATGGTTGAGATGAAACCCAACTTAGCACAGATGAGAAATATGGAGGAAGTCTGGAATAACATAGTAGAAAGGATTCAGAATAAGTATCTCAAGGAATTTTTGAACCAGAATGGAAAGCTCATGTCACTGACTGTGTCCAAAGGTAAAACCCCAACTTAATGATTTAATTCCTTTTAGCTCATTCCTACCAGTGCTACATTTGTATAATCATACAAAGCGTATTTGGTCCATTTGTGTTTGATAGATAACTGATCAGTGATCTTGGATGATTTCTACAGCCAATGCAATCGTTCATCTGATGTTTAAAACTCCAGAAGACAAACTAACAGCTGAAACTTCCGAGGCAACCATCTCCAAAGCATTCGAAGCTGCCCTTGGCTGCCCAGTGACAGTGACAATGAGCTTGGAACCATCCGAATTTAGTATTTTCAGGACCAGTGTCCCATTGACTGATGAACAACTAGGGCACACTAAGCAAAGACAACACAGAAGGTTTAACTCAAAGACTGAGGAGCAACAGAACACAAATGCAAGAGAAGTGGTTCTCAACCACAGTCGAAGCTCCAAAACAACTGGTACATCTGAAATGCTCCTTAGATCCACAAGTTCTCGGGAATCTGTGAAGAAAGTTCAAGTCAGAGATATACTCTCTGAAGAACATGAAAGGAGAGATGGGCATCACAGACATAGCCAAGATTTCTCTGGTAGTTTGCTTCAAAGAAACAGGCAAGATAGAGCCTTAAAGGATCAAGATCCAAAAGACAGAGCTCTGGATATGATCACAATGAACACAAATACTCAGCTCAAGCGTAGATCTTTGGGCATGCTCTCTCTTACTTCAATTCAGCAGGCAGATGCAAGCATAGAGCCTTATAGCCAAGATTTAATGTTTGAAAACAAAAATCAAGACATAACACTACTAAAGAGAAGAACTTCAAACCTTCAGGCCGACTCACCCAAAACAAGAGATCATCAGCAACATCGAGCATGCCTGTAAGTAACAACCCACCTGCAAACAGAAGTGGAAATACCCATATTTGCCTAACGAATTGTTGACATGAAATTGCTTAGGTCAAGGGAATTTATGTGTAGCTTCAAGGGGTGATAAGATGAGAGAAAGTTGACTTAGTAGGCTGACCATGTGCGGCATAGACCTGATACAACACCCGTTAAGAGCGCAATTTGGTACAAGTAGAAGGCTCAAAAAGGGAAAAAGGAAGGCTCAAAAGAACATTGATGAAAGTAGTGAGAAAAGATATGGTGACATATGATCTTACTGAGGGTATGACCCTTGATAGAGCAGAATAGCGGAGAGGATTCATAGTCAACCCCAAATAGTTGGAATAAGACTCAGATGATGATGATGATAATGATAAAATTGCTTAGGTCGGCATACACAAATACTTAATTTTTGTTTCAGGCGACTAACTACATTTCTTTATCATGCAGGGAAATCTCTTCCAGCTGTACTGAATTGTTCTGTGGTGGAGAGGCAAGGGTCAACCCCTAATGTTATGTAGCCCAAGACAATGATGAATATCCATCTCCATCTCAATCTCGACATCTAACCAGGTAGATAGCAATGAAGTTGAAGCAAAATGATGCATGGATGCAAGGAGACTGATGTAAGACTCGCCTAAGACCGGAGTCGACCTGGCTGCGGTAGCCTCCAAGTTTCAGACAAGCCTGAAGGGACTTGCACAAGTATTATATCCGTTATGTAGTTTTTTTAAAAGACTCATATGAGTCTCAACAAGCCTACTTGGCTCAGGGCTATGGTGAGCCCCGGTCCCATTCTGTTCATTTAAACTGTCTATTAAGGCAGCACCTTGTTCAGATTCCATAATAAGAAAAAACGCCTACTCAAACAGAAGATTGTTTCCCCACTTCAAGTCTATACTAGATATAGAAAAGCCAATACCATCTGCCCTTAAGATCCTAAAACCCCACAATTGTTGTTACTCAATTTGTTTTTCATCTATTAAAGCTGATTACTTTGAAGCATAAAGTTACGAAAAGTTGACGGACAAATATATGGAAGATACCGGGTTGTTGATGATACACATGAAATCCACTCAAGACACATTTGATTGCACTCAATTATTCCAATGACCTTCCAAATAGACTATAATGCATGCGGATCCAATGCCTCCACATTCTTCGCCAAAGCAAGCAAGCAAGCAAAAGATAGGAAACTTTCATAGTAATAGCAAGCACTGAAGCAATAGCAAGTTTTCAAAGCAAACTGGTTCCCACAGTTAACCTTTCTTGCCACTAAATGTACATGATCTTTCCAACAAGGGAAAATAAATGGAACAATCTGAAACTGCAGATACTTAATGGGTCACTACCTGTGATTGACCACAAATGTGGTTTCTCAACAGGGAATGTTTTTTTCTGGGCTGGACTGCAATTTTATCGAAGCCCCAACATGACTTGCCCCCTGGATGCCAACCAACAACATATTTATTATATCCACATGAAACATAGTAAAGAAATAGTCAGATAGAAAATTAAATCTGTCAGACAGAAAATGAAAAGAATAGAAAGGCCATCTGCCAAAGAAATAAAACCAATAATGTCCAGCATTTCAAAACAAAGAAAATGATGTACCTTTAAAGGACAGGTTAGGAAGCTGTACATCTGTGCTCATCCAAGTGGATCAATGGACTAAAAAGAATGCACATATCATCTGAATTCTCAAGTGATTGACAATCTTTTTTCTGCACAGATAGGTAACCCAAACATGAGAAGAAAGCAACTGCAGATTCAGGAACATAAAATGGAATTCAAAACCTTCCCTTCGTCTGACCATTATTATATTGCTGCAACCTGAATGAATCAAGGTTTTTCCATCAGCCACATAAACTCAACTTGTGATCAACACACAGCTATGCTGTTATCCCATAGGATCCTAGAGCACAAACCCCAAAAGATCCTTCTCTTCAAAAGTCACCTATGCGAGGACCCAACAAACCATGAACATAATCACACGATCCAACAAATTACTTAAAAATTAAAAGGAAATTAGCGTTTGACTTAATACAGTTGAAATGATGGCTGATAATCAAACCCAAATACAAAGCAAGTCCTGTCATGAACCAACATGAATTAATATATGAACCCCCTATGTAGCATACCAAAGTTTCTCAATTTATGCAAGACAAATAGGCAGGAAACAGGAGATATTAAGGTATATAAAAATTCAATATACATATCGAGGTCCATCTAGGGGCACACACAGTGCCAGTTACACCACTTTCAAATAATAGATCATAAATATTGGTAACTCAATGCCCCCTTGTTGATCATGAAGAATACTATTTTACCACATTTCTCAGAACTCTTTTGCTCTGGTGTGCTATCAAGACATATGCCTTAACCAGTTCTTCCTTCACCATGAAAAGGACTGAGGCTGCAAAAACGCTCTGCACTATCTTTGTTCCCATGCCCTTATAAAAACCAGGCAATCCTTCATAACGTATCATCTTCACAATAGCATCCAAAGTACCTGCACAGTAAGAAATGCCAATTATGAGAATGTCATGCTTATATGTTCCAACAATGACAATAAAGCATTACATCCAGCAATAGCCATGCAGATTGCTTAACTTCCCAGATTAGAACATTCCCTAATATTTAAGCTTTCTGCTATTTTATCAGTTCCTTTTTTTCTTGACGAGCAACTCCTAAAAATCCCCATGCTTGTTGCACACATGCTCTCAAAAATATGTGCGCGTTTGTGTGCCATCTTGCCAGCATCGGTCAATAAGAACTTCAGAAATCATTCATGAAATTCTAAGTCTAAACAAAAAGTGCTGATTACTTATCAAGTAAATGCACAATGTAGATACAAATTTAAACTTGAAAAACAAACATTCAGATACTCCCAAATAACTACCTGTATATCTAAATGCAATGTTACCACCAATTTCCTGCTTCGCTTGAAGCCTTGACTGCAATGGCAATGCAACCAATGATTTAGTTGAACTGTCACTATAGAGATAAACAAGTAGGAGAAGTTCAGAACAAGATTTTTAAACTTCACAAAAGGAGCTTTTTTTTTTTTTTAAGCACTGCATATACATAGAAATAACTGTTATAGACAAAAGTATAGAACAGATAAAGAACACTGATAGACTGCTAGGAAATTTGTTCTAGCCTCTAAGACCACATTTTAGAGTTACTTCAGATTTTATCTGCAAGTAACTAATGTCAACAGCCGTCGAGACCACATTTTAGAGTTACTTCAGATTTTATCTGCAAGTAACTAATGTCAACCAGGAGCATAACCAAGAACTATCATACCACAGAAAACGATAGCATGTTTTTCTTGTAAATCCTGCCATTTTCAGCCCAAGGATGGAGCAAACATCCTTATTTCCAATGGGAGATGGTTTTCTCCACTTCAACGTTTTGAATATCTCAGTAACTGATTACGTTTACTTTCTCTCATCAGGGGCGGTTGGAATTGATTGACACCCACTAATATCATGTTCCTTGTATTGATCTTTTTTAGCATTGATTTCGGTATTACTATGGTGGTATAGTGGCATCATAAGATGATATATTCATCTAAGAAGACTAATATCAGGAAGTTGGTCACATGCACACATTGATGTGAATTAGTTGTTCCCAGCACAAATAAACTGATTATCAAACTAAAGCCCATTTTTCATTGCATTCTGCACTTAGGCTGCTCTGTGTGTGGTTTAGATCCTAATCAAATTTTGGGTTCTACAGTAGATATTGCGAGGTCCTTTTTTCCACAGACCTTTTCAACCAAAAACATGTCCACATACAGCAATTAAAAGAAAGAAAAATCAAGGGCTAACCATGATTGTTTGAAAAACAGCAATATCACAACTAAGAGGTCGAAAAGAGTTGGAGCCACAGTAAAGTCCAAGTGTCTGAGAACATATTTAATGCACAGCCAGACCAGTTGCTTACCTTAACAACCAACAACGGATATGTAGAAATAGTTGCTCCCAGTTTAGCCAAGGCACACAGGGGATAGG